AGCAACAACAAAGAAGCCCGAATCTGTCTTCCAGCCCGAGCACTATTCGGTATTTTGGCCATATCTGGAGTTCTAGAAGTCCAAATGAGCTGAAATTTTTACACAAGAAAGCTGAGACAATTGCCTACAACTTTCATGTTTACAACTGGCTCCAATTTTGACGTTATCAATGACGTTTTGGGCAGACAAGAGAAGATAAGGATTGTCACCAAGTCAAAAGTTGGTCACCCACTTATCAATTAGTCATCAAATCAATAGTTCCCATTTTTGGCCTATAAAAGGAGGCATTTGCCATGCATTTAGGCATCTTGATTTCCAGATCAAGATCATGCTCTTCCTTTCTCTCTTTGTATTTTTTATGCTTTGTTTTCATTAATATTAAGTTTATGCCTTTCATTTCCTTTCCTTTACTTAGTTAACTTTTATGTTCTTATTTTGTTTATCTATTTTGCTTTCTTTCATTATGTCTAGCTAAGTTAATTATGTCAAGGTGAAAAGGTTACACTAATGGTGTAAGAATAAGTATAATGTAAACTTAATATGGACTTTAATGTTTGATACTAACATGTTTTATATTTGCTATCTTGTTCACTCTTTAATACTTTGCTTGTTAAATGACTAATCTTGATTTATGTTGTATAACACTTGGTACAACAAATGCTTGGCACTTTCATAGCCCATAATGTATGGTATAACCGACACCTGAGCTATGAAAGGAACTTGATTTGTTGTTAACATAAGTTATAATCATGAATGCTTGACGAGATTTACAAGTATTAGCATTAATTGAATAAGATGACTAATGTAATCATGTTAACAATATATAATCTGATTGGAACCTCCTTTGTGTGTGGTTTCCAGTTAGTATCAAACATTAAGATTCATATTGAGTTTATACTATACTTATTCTTACACCATTACTGTAACCTTTTTACCTTGATATAATAAACTTAACTAAACATAATGAAAGAAAGAAAAATAAATAAATAAAATAAGAACATAAAAAAGATAAAAGTTAACTAAGTAAAGGAAAGGAAATGAAAGGCATAAACTTGATATTAATGAAAGCAAAACTTAAGCATTACAAAAATTCAAAGAGAGAAAGCAAGAGTATGATCTTGATCTGGAAACCAAGATGGCTAAATGCATGGCAAATGCCTCCTTTTATAGGCCAAAATTGGAAACTATTGATTTGATGACTAATTAATGAGTGGGTGGTCAACTCTTGACTTAGCGACAATCCTTATCTTCTCTTGTCTGCCCAAAACGTCATTAATAATGTCAGAATTGGAATTTCTTGAAATATAAAAGTTGTTGGAAATTATCTCAGCTTTCTAGGAAAAAAAATAAAAGTAATTTAGACTTCTAAAACTCCAGATATGGTCAAACACTAAACAGTGTTCGGGTTGCAGGATAAATTCGGACTTCTTCGTTGTTGCTATAATTTGGAATTGAAAATGACCTTATTAAAACCAGACTTCCACATGAAAGTTGGAGGCCTATATCTTACTTTTCTATTCATATAAAGTAGACCTAAATCCGAGATTTACAGCTCCAAATATGACCCAATTACCAAATAGTGTTTCGATTTGGACTACATCAGCATCTCTTTTATAAGTTTGGCCATCTCTTTGTCCTTTTAATTTTAGTTCTTAAACTCATCAATCAATCCTTTCATTTATGTGATAGGCCTGTATTTAAAATGAATAGTTACTATAAATTAAAGGTATCTTATATTATTAGATATATTATTATAAAACATGCTTTAGTTAAGGAGTTATTGATACTTCAAGTGCAAAATGATGGTATAAAACCTTAATAAAAATACACTTTTAAGTACTAATCAACTCAATAACTGAATGGTGTTCCTGTTTTGAAATGAACGAACATCTCTTCTCTAAGTTTAGCCTTTTTTTTATCTTCTCAATTTTAATAGTTAAGCACATCAATCAATTATTTGAATTATGAGATATGCCCATATTTAAAATGAGCATTTACCATCAATTAAATATTCTTTATATTATTAGACTTGATATTATAAAATATACTTGAGATAGAGAGTTTAATAATACTTTAAATGCAATATGATGATATAAAACCTTAATAAAAATGCACTTTTAAATATTAATTACACAACATCTTATCCTTATATTTTCCAACTGAAAAAAAAAAAAAAAACCAAAACCTGCTTAACAAGTCTAACTTCTCTATAAGCATTCAATCATTAAAGTCCATAATGATTTTCATGTTTAATAGTGTCCAGATTTAATTTTCTAACATGTGTACTACTAACAACATTAGCATAACCCTCACTATCGATATTCATACCCAACAATTGAATTAAGAGTTATGTTTGAATTAGACAGTAGGCACAACTACACTAGAATCTGAATTTTCTTATTCCACATTTTCTTGGATAATATCAAAAAATCATGATACCCGCAATCACATCCAAAATGTAAACACTTCTTTTTTTTATGTGAAAAATTAACTTGAGATCCTACCCAAGCAACGTAACACAAGTATAATGCTAGTTTTAAATGAATATATTGGTGTGAAACAATCATACGATTAAGTGGTAAAGGCTTTCTCTTTTATCCTGAATTTCCTTGCTTAATGCTTGAATTGGGTTATCATAAATTGAGTTTCGGGTAGTGTAAAAACATCTATAGTACCGTTATTTTGATTTTTTTTTAGCTAATAAGTGTTAGGGTTGTTCATGGTTTGGTTTGGTTTAGTTTGAACTAAAAAAAACCAACCAAACTAAATTAGATTAATTTTGAAAAATAAAGACTGAACCGGACCGAAATCCAGTTCAAACCAAACCGATTTGGCTTGGTTTTTTAAATAAAATCGATAAACTTAATCATACAGAAAGCATGCATATTTAAACAAATCTTTAATGTTTGTTACATCTAAAACAAGGATCAACTTCATCATTTTATTTTTAAGAAATCAGAAGCTGGATTGTTATTTTTACAAGGGATTCAAAAGCCCCTCTTAACTAGAAAATAAGAAACAAATTAACTCTTCATCTTGATTCTCTTTGTCAACACTTGAATCACTTGCCTACAACTCCAAACAAACACCCTTCTAAATTCACGGATTGTTATCCATATCTGTTAAAACCAAAGTAGACCATTGCATGCATCTTTTCTCCTCCAATAGTGACACCTTTCTCAACAATATTAGCCACAAACTCATTATTCCCAGACCCATAAAAGAACCTATGGTGAGCTTTTTCTTCTAAAAAATTTATGATAGCCTCCCTTCTTTCTCCTTTTCACTACCATAAAACCACTATAGTAACCAAGCCATTGCACTACCATAAAACTCAACTAACAAACCGTAATGTTAATCTTCTTCTAAATACCCAGCTATTGTTTGCCAACATCAACTAATGGAGTTAGAAAAATCGATGAGATCTAGAAAGTAGAACAAGTCATATGAGCTTTGGATTAGAGGATCCACAATAAGAAAGGAAAGAATGAGAGGGAGATGAGATGCAGAGCAGATGAAAGGAAAATAAAGAATGAGAAAAGCATGCGGCGGCTTTTTATAAGGGGGTTAGGTTAGGGTAATTTATACCCTTTTTGGGTTGGACCAGTTCGGTTTACCGGTTTCATTTGTAAAACCAAAACCAAACCGAACTGGTTAGATTTTATGGTTTTAAAAATCAGTTTAATCAGTTTTTTATCTCGGTATAGTTTTTTCAGTTAATTTTTCTTTAATTCTTTCAGTTTTCTTGGTTGATTAGTTTTTCTGAACACTCATAATAAGTGTTGTATAAAGTCATGAAATCTCTTTAAAAAATATATTTGTTCTAGATGCAATATGCACCGTCAACCGTGTGGGACATTTACCTGTTTGTTGCCCATTTTAATAACCATAAATAAGAGAAAAAAATAATGATCCTCTTTGTTTCGGAAATACACCACAACCTCATAATATTAGTAAATTAACATACTTGTCCTCTTAAATTGGAAAAATACACTAGTATTTCATGTGCACCAAATCTAAACATGAGAGTTACCCAAACAAACCAGCATTAAACAACCAATAAAAGTTTGTTATGTTGAAAACATTAAATACTCAAATATTTAGCTTCGTAAACTTTTATTTATTGATATTCAACACACTTTTTAAATTTTAAAGATGTTGACCCTTATATTTATAAAAAGATTACAACTTTTAACTTCTTTTTCTAATCAAGGGCTCCTACTTAGACAAATAATTTCATCTAATAACTAATAATTCATTCCTCAACTTGATTTTCTAAAACATTCAATTTAGCAACGTGATAATCTCCTCTAACTAGTATTTTTATGTAGAAATAATGGTTTTACATCCAAGATAGGTCATAGATTTTAAGCTATAAAAATAATAATCGATCTTATTATATCATACTTTAAAATCAAAGAAAAAACTTATTTGTAATCAACCCTATAATTTTACTTGTAACATTTAGCTACGAAGTATGCTTTGTATTAGTCAACTTCACCATTCCCCTTTATTTTTTGTCCTTTCAAAAATTTCTTCAACTCCCAAGCTCATGCTATTTTATTTCTTTAACAACATATTAAAAAATCATAGGATTAAAATATAACAGTAGAACAAAATAAATAAATAAATCATATTAATTAATTTAAGTTATCTCATAATTTCTTATTCATGTAAAGCATTTTACTTATTCAAAAAAAAAATAGTTACTCATTCTTGAAAAAACACTTCTCAACTTCACCATTTTACTCATAATTACTCATTCATGAAAAAAATAATTTTTATTATTATAGTTTCATTATCTTATTGTTTTATAAGTTTATAAGAAATAAACTTAATTTTGAAAACAAAAAACAACAACAAATTGGGCCGAGATAGTTGACCCATTTAGGGAGATAAAGCATCCACTGCCTGCAACCGCATCGCAGGTGCATATTCCTCAACGAGGGTTAGGTTAGTAATTTGACTTTTGTCTAGTGGGTCTCTGTATAACGTCGTCATCAGTTTCTCAAGGCTGCCAAAAACTCCACCACCAAAAAAAAAAAAAAATTCAGAGATCAGATCTAAATTAATTAGCTAACAGAAAAGAAGAAAGCAATAATGGCGACTCTTGAGGTTCTTCAGATGGTTGAAGAAGGTCTCCTTTCATCTCCTCCAAAAGGTACTCTTATTCTCTTTACAATTTTTTATTTTATTTTCTGAAAAAAAATTTCCTTTTTTGCTATTTTGTTAGAATCATGATTTTCATTGAAAAAAAAAATCATGGGCAGCTGAAAATGAAAAACCCCGAGATTTGTCCATCGAGAAGAAGATCGATTTCCTTGAGAGCTTGACTGGCAAAGTACGTCTCTTTGGGGTTTCTTTCCCCCAAATTTACTGCCTTTTTAATTAAATTATTCATCCCGTGTCAGTTGTATTAATGATAGTGTTCAAGAGGTGTTTTATTCCTTGCACTGAGATGGGTTTTCATCTTTTAACAAAAGATTGCTAATTGTTGCTAAGTTATGTTACTGTTAGTGATGTGTTTTATGTTAAACTGTTAATGCTAGAGGACGTGTATAGCTATCTTTGTATGACGACTTCAACAATTGCTTCCAATGTGATGCACTAGGATGGTGATCACTGTTTATATGGATTGATTAACTGAAATACTTAACAATTCGCTTGCATGTCTTGTGACTCAAGCTATGAAAAGACTTGAAATTTTGGATCAAATGAGGATAAAAGGACAATTTTTAGTATTAAGGAAAAAATAAACGTTTTTTGGAGCCATAGGATTTTTGTAATACTTGGCTGTTCTGTGCTTTCAGGAGTTTTATTGGGTTAAAGATTTCTTTTTCAGTTGCAGTTATGTACTTGTTGGAATACGAGGATCTCCTTTTGTTCCAACTGCTAGCTATTTTAATTTCTGGTTTATCAATACAAGTTTTTTCCTCCTCAAATTTGGCTCAAGATTGTTTAATATGATGTTGCTAATCTGTGGTTCTCCAGGTTAGCAACCGTCGATCTCGGAGATGGTTAAATGATCGATTGCTGATGGAGCTTGTGCCTCGTTTAGATGCAGAAGAAATTAGAGGCTTGTTTGCTCCACCACCTTGGGGTATTATGACATGTTAAGGGGTTCTCCCCATTCAATAACATTATTATTGGTACAACAATCTAGAGCATAGATACCATGGTTATGCATTCATATCTTTCCCAGTTTAGATTTGATTGTTCTCTCTTAAACTTAGTTGGGGATTGATGCAATTAAATTGAAGAAAAAAATCTAATTGACAATGATACTTGAATGCTGATGATAGTTGGAGCACAACTCAATGGCTAATGGCACTTTAGGGCAGTATTGACCTCTCAGAACCCCTATTTCCCGTGATCAGTTAATGGCTTCTCTTTTTATGATATGGCATTTGGCACTGATGCTGGGCTCTTTTGTACAGGTGATGATGTACCACTGTCACCATTTTGCATGACTAATATGGGAGAGTGGGACAAGTTTAGGAATATAGACATGGACAAGCAGGTTTCTTTGCTTATCTTGTTTATAAAATCACTTTTCATTGTCTCAAGTCCTCTTCTATTGAAGAGCATACTCAGTTTCAGTCATTTCTGCTTTTTAAATTTATTACTATATCTGAAGATTTGAGCTGAAATATGAGCAGTAAACTGATCAGCGTCATTTTAAGGTTCAAAACAAGTGTTATATCCCAAGGTGTGATTCATTAGTGAATAAACTATCTTTATTAGGCTCCAAAAGATTTTTCAGAGTCTCATCAAGTTCACTACATAATAAATTCATGAGCTGAATTTGCAAATTGGCCTTCCATTCTATAATTGAAATGTTGAGGATCTCTAGCCAGGATATTGAGTAGACGGTCGATGCATCATACTTGTCTCTATCTTTTGTAGCATGCATTCCCATCCATGTCGCAATTGATTTGGTAGTGCATGGAGATTGACCTTTGGTCCCCCAAACATGGCAACTTCTCGCATGTGAATGAGTTGGAAAACACATATTGCTGTCATAATGCTGTTCTGGTATGTGCAGAAGCTATATATTCTAATTTTAGCTTTCCATTGTTGGTGGTAGGCTAATATTATTGACAGACTAAATAGGAGGTCTGTCAAAAGGGAAGGTCGTGTTGATGCTGATAAGATGGCTGTCTTGAATGCATGGCATAGAATAGATTGCCGAACTAGAGATGCACTTCGTCGTAGCTTCCTTGTAGAACTTATTGAGAGCTATGAGGTATGTACATACCTTGTGATTGATTGAAATGATGAAGGACATTGGTGATTTACAGCATGAAATGTCAGTTATACTGCTGATTTTGTCCTCATCTAAACTGTGCATCTAGTGTATAGCTAGTGTGCCTGTACTAAGTTTTATCTGTAATATTAGAGAAATTATAATGTTTCAGTTTATCAGCTGCTATAAAATTAGACACCTCTTCTATAGCTCGAGTTTTACGCCTTCGGTTTGCTGGCTTGGTGAGATTCATTTGTGTCAACTGAAATGTGTTTCTGATTATAGATGTGTATGCTTTGAAGGATTTAATGTTAGAATGAATTGCATCATTGCAAGCTTTTAACCCCAACTGTCTTCCTTTAATGTAATTGATGAATGTCATGATTGCTTGTTAAACAGCTGGATGGTCATGGTGACAAATGCTGCGACTCTTATCTCCTATTGTAATGCTGTTTATGTGTGTAATCTTTTTCTTGTTTTGCTTCTTTCTTGAAGCAATCATGTCATTATTTTATATCTTGATGTCACTAGTAGATGATTTATGCTTGTATGTCTCCTTAGCTGGTACAAGTCTTCTTAGTTGTTTAAAGCCAGATATCAACTTGTCATTTTCAGGCATGCATCCGGGTTTTCATTCAAGATGGTGGAGATGAAGTTCTATCATTACGGGTTCAAGATCCCTTTCATAGATTGTTGCTGCATGGTGTCTGTGAGGTAACCTTCATCATTTATCATGGGATATTAAAGCCGTCTGTTTTCCAATTCGCTGAAGGAGTCCAAATGGTTTGCTTGCCTTATTGTTAATAGACACCAGATATGATTTGTATGGAAAACACATGGCATGCTTCACTTTTATATGTTTTCAATGCTTCCTGATGATTTTTACAGTTCTAGAACTTGGCCTCAGTAACTAGTCAGGATTGAATTCTATTTGTACAGTTCTACAACTTGGCCTCAGTGACTGAGACAGAGTCAAAGGATGCAGAGTCATTTAAGACGACAAAAATAAAGAAGAAAATGGCTGTAGTTGAGCTCCCGAATATCACTGTTTCCAATTTTTTGAGAATGTCCAAGGAAGGTGTACGGTAGCTCCAATGGGATGGATCTCCAATTGATGTATGTAAATAAAGTGATCCTTGATGAAGCCTGACTTATGGATGCAATATTTTATTATGATGGGTCAGCCTGTTCATTTTGTATCATTGATAACATTTTAGGTTGTATTTGTTGGCACAAATGTCAGTAAATGAAGGCTATTTTGCAAATCAGTTGGATATTTGGTTACTTCTGCACGTTAGGTGCTGCTGATATCAAAATTCATAGCCCATGAATTATGGGTAGGAAAGTAAGGTCTACCTGTGTTTTGAAAACCCTTGAATCATGATCATTTGATGGTGTATCTTCTCTTAAAAGAAAAGGAACATTTTTGGAGGCCAAATTAGATTGAAGCATGTTAATAACACATACATATGCATACACGAGTATTATATTATTAAAAAATGTAAAAATATAAAATATTAATTATTGCAATGTATTCAATAATTTTTCGAGTTGTTAATTGTCATCAATTGAAAAATATATTAAAATATTAACATTTTAACCATTATTTTAGATCGATTTTAATATAGTACATGATAGTTTAAAGTATCGGTTTGATAAACAGGTCAATTTTGAAATCCTTGAATTCAATTTCTTATACTGGAGGAGTTGTCATTTAACTTGAATAGTTTAAAGGTAATTTAGAAGTTTAGTGAAAAAAATCATGGTTTATATATATATATTAATTTCAGATGATTTTTAATTTTAATTTTTAGATGAAAATATATTGGATTAACTTGGTTTTGTAGTTTAATTTATTAAATCCTCTATCCAGGTAATATATTTTTTTTGTTTATAAATTTTATTTTTTAAAAAATTATTTTTTACATAATTATATGATAATAAAAATAAATAACTGTAAAATTAAGTATAAATTAAATATTAAAATGTTTATTTAAGTCTATGATAACTTTATAAAAAGTAAATTTAAATAATTTATAAAGACAAATTAAAAATTAAAAAAACATTAAAAAATTTAAAAAAAAAAAACAAGAAAAAGAAAACCAACACTAAAAAGGTATGTGTATTCCTAAGTCTTTTAAAGTATAGCTATGGGATCCATGTTTCGATACAGGTTAAATATTTTTAATTTTTATAAAAAATTATCTATATAGTTTTTTAATATATTTTGGTAGTTTAAAAAATATAATAAATCAAAAAGTTAATGCACAATCAAATAAACTAAGAGTTATATGCATTATTAAATCAATAAAAATTCATTAATGATAACTAAAAACAAAACTTAAAAAACTAAAAGATAAATATAGATCAAAATATTGAATATTAAAAAATAAAACATTAAATTGATTGAATAAAAAAAAAGAAATAACATGTAAGACTGCAAATATTAAGAATTTCATCTAAAAATAAACTATTTTTTATTTTAAAAAACATAGTTTATCTATATAAAAGATAAAAACAAAACCATAAATGAACTAAAAAAACCACTCCAAAAATTAAAAACATAACAAAAAAAATAATATTTTTTAAAATAGGTTATTGAACAAAATAAAAGAGAAGGTTTTGCCTTCTTCTTTTTTTGGTTTTTAATCTTTTAACCGGTAACATCACTTTATTTCTTTTCAATTGCATTATTTAAAGTTATATTGTCATGGCAGCCATAATTATCAAACCTAGCTTGGGGGTTGACCTGGCCAAGGAGCCGAGTCAAAGTTACACAGGTTGACTCTAGTCAACCCGAAAAATTAAAAAAAAATATTTGAGATTTTAATATTTTATATAAAAAATAAAAAATAATTCAAGTGGATATAGGCTATACATGATATAAATAATTAAGTTTAAAAGATTATTTCAAATGGTTTTTATTCACATTGAAAAAAATACTATCTTGTTCTTTTAAGTTGAAGTATTTAAATAAAAAATATGTTTTATCCCATATTAAAAAAACATAACTTTTTTTCTTGTAACATAGAGTATATATACTAAAACACTTCAAATCTCACATTGAAAAAACTATATACTAAAATATAGACACCCTTTTATCACTATTCCATGAATTTGAATCCTCAAAATTAAATCAAATTATTAGGCATGATTGACTTAATTTGTCAAGAAAGAGAGCAAACTATTGCAATTTCTAAAAGATAATCTTCGCAATGGATGTTACTTGATAATATGATCACCAGTTCTTGCATGTGTTGCCTTTATCTTCGAATTTGAAATATGATAATGCTTTTAATTGTCGTAAAAGAAGCTCCCAAGTTCACACTTACAACAAGATCCATTTTTTATAACGACATCATAAACATAAGCTCCCAGGTCCAAGAATAACTGTATTTTTTCAACATGTTAATTTAGTGTTGTCATTTGTAAAGTGGTTATGCCACCATCAACAAAATCCCAACAAAAGAAAATGACCACCTTTGTAAATATCATCAGCTTAAAATTTTTTATTTTTTCTCTTGGTGATGTTGAACTACTTTCTAATGACTATTTTCTTGCACTAGAAGAAGAGCTTCACCCAATAAATACAAAAAATCAATTAACCAATGACATCTAAAAAATCATCATAATTGCTCAATAAAAAAAAGGTGAAAAAACATAAGTACTTCATGCATATAAAAATAAATAGAAAAACCTACCTTTTTTAGGAGTTCCCATATGTCATTTTTCACTATTAATTCACCTAGATATTATTCTTTTACTTTATGCCCCTCCCTAGTTCCCAAGCTTTATGTTGTATCACTAAATAAAAGAAATAAAACTTTAAAATTGGAATTCTCCTTTCATGATTTATGAGTTTTTAATATATCTCATTAATTTAGGTTTAGATCATCAAGAGAAGAGAAGATTAGTGTTTAAAGAGAGAAACTTCATCTAATTAAATTTTATGATATTTATTATAAGAAAAGTTAAATGGTGTGGTATTTTTACTACAATTTAATTACTATTTATCTTTTCACATTAAATTATAGTAGTGAAATTTTTTAAAAAATTTAATTTCACTTGAAAACTTTTCTTTTACACAATTGAGCCATTTTAAGCCAAAATTAGAACTTCATAGCATGTTTTTTTGGGGTGGGCATTAAATTGAAAGCCACGAGACTGAAGTGACAAAAACGAGTAAAATTAATAGTGGGTATGCAATTTGTTTGAGAATTTCATTTTCATCCACTATGTTTAAAACATTTAGGTATCCGCTCGCTATAATTTTCAAAAAATATATTTTGACACCAACCTTCATTTTCCTGTTTTCTCCTTTTATTATAGAGGAGAGAGGAGGGGTCGCTAAATCCCGATTTAGAAAGAGAAAGTTATTGTTGGGGAAGCTTTAGGCCACCAAAACATACATGTTCGTGTCAAAATGTTCCATATAATAAGAGGACTTAAAATTATATGTTTTTTTTACCTTGAAAACATAAAAAAAAAATCCAAGCTCAAGAAGATTTTTGGTTTCTAGTTGATTTTAGGTTTCAGGCTAATTTTTTTTACATTTTTGTAGGCCATGGTTAGGTTTAACAAGATGCATAGGGTGTTGGTAAAAAACAAGTTGAAAATGAGTTTTTGAAAGGAAAAAAACAATGGACCTTGATTTTCTGACGATTACAGTGACATGATTTTGGGATTTCAAACAACACTTCATTTTTTTAATTTTTTTAAAATGCATTAAGGAAGATGAGATGTCATTTGTACCTTCAACTTAAAAAGAAAAACATTACATGCCCATGTGTGCAGACTTGAACTAGTAGGCCTGCGCACGATTGTATTGAGTTTATGTTTGATTTTGTGATTGTTTGTTTTTGTTATCATACGGTTAAATAAAAAATAATTTTAAAAAAATAAATTATAATCCCATTAGAGCCCATAAATTGGTTCGCAGTTTTGATGTGCTAGTCCAGTTACTCGATTTATAGGTTTGATGAGTTCATCCACTAGACCAAGATGCTTTTTTTTTTTGTTCTTTACTTATTTTTAATTTTTTTTCTCAATTTTACCTTTCAATATTAGATTGGTTTGGAAATAAACCACATGATTTATTTTTGTTTGCTTCCTATAATGATTATTTCTATAAGCTAGTGCTTAATTTTGTGACCATATATTTTATCATACAATTAATAAAAATATGTATAAAAAAATTATTAAATTCAATGAGGTTCATAACATGGGTCTTTGGGAGACTCGGATTCAATATGTCCTTGTCTCAATAATTTTTTTTAAATAATTATTACATTAAAGTTGTTTTACAAGCTAAGTCATGTTTTTACCGGTCATCAAGTTTTTTTACAAGCAAAATCATGCTTGTTTTTTGGTTCTTTAATTTTTTTTTTTTAATTTTATCCTTCACTATTAGATTAGTTTGAAAATAAACCACAAGATTTATTTTTATTTGCTTTCTATAATTATTATTTCTATAAGCTAGTGCTCAATTTTATGATCATATATTTTTATCATACAATTAATAAAAATATGTATCAAAAAATTATTAAATTCAATGGGGTTTATAACATGAATATCTGAGGAACTCAAATTCAATATGTCCTCATCTCAATAATTTTTTTAAAATAATTATTATATTAAAATTTTTTTATAAGTTAAGTCATGTTTTTACTGGTTATCAAATTTATATTTAAACTTATAAAATTAATTATTTTAAATCGTGCCAGCTTAATTGCAATTTAGTTTACTACTAGAGTTAAACAAATACACTATAAAATTTCAAAATTTACCCATTAAGTTATATTTAATTATACAACTAAAAATTTATTAGCACTTTTAATATTTAAAAAAATTAGTTGAACCCGAAACGGCAAATAAAATAGTACATATGTAAGGTTAATTAAGTCGTGTAATTTTACGAGCTATTAATTATAATTTCAATCAAATTACAGAATGCTTAATTTTCCAAATTAATAATAATAACAATAAAAACCACCTTTACATGCATAAAATAATGAGCATTGGCATTTAGCCCGTGGAGCTCCCTCTCCCAACACCACCCTCCAAAACAACCAAACCATACTCTTCAAAGTTTCCACCATCCCGTAATGACAAAACAATATCAAGGGCTGTCATGATAAAAAACCAACTTTAATTTTTTTGAAAAATTAAGTCATGTTTTTACAAATTATTAAATTTATATTTAAATTTATAAAATCAATTATTTTAAATCATGCCAGCTTAATTGCAATTTAGTTTACAACTAGAGTTAAACAAATAGACTATAAAA